ACAGTGGTAACGTCAAAGACCACTGAACACAGATCACTATAAAAGGTATAATAATAATGAAAAAGTTTGAAATATTGTGATAATTACCAAAATGTGACCCAGAGAATTATCAAAATGTGAGCACATGCTGTCAGAAAAAATGGCACCAATAGATTCGCTTGACACAGGGTTGCCACAAACCTTCAATTTGTAAAAAAAAAAAAAAAAAAAAAGCCTGTGAAGTTCAGTAAAGCTAAATGCAATAAAATGAGGCCTGCCTGTATACAAGTTCAGTATCCCCTATCCACAATGCCTAGGACCAGAAGTTTTTTGACGTTGGATTTATTTTTTTTTGGATTTTGGAATATTTGCATTGTACTTACTGCTTCAGCATCCCTAATCTGAACATTCGAAATCCAAAACACTCCAGTGAGCATTTCTCGTGAGCATAACCTTTGAGCATCTTGTTGGTACACAAAAAGTTTCAGATTTGGGGGCATTTCAGATTTTGGATTTTGCATTATAGATTGTCAACCTGTATATACATATTTATGCATACATAAATGAATACATTGTTGCTACTGTTATTTTGAAAAGTTATATGCTATAATAGATCAGTTAAGAAGAAGAAAAATAAAACTTTTTGGGGGGGTTGTTTTTTTGTTTTTTGTTTTTTGTTTTTTTGTTTTGTTTTGTTTTTTGAGACGGAGTTTTGCTCTTCTTGTCCAGGCTGGAGTGGAATGACGTGATCTCGGCTCACTAAATCTCCACCTCGCGGGTTCAAGTGATTCTCCTGCCTTAGCCTCCTGAGTAGCTGGGATTACAGGCGCTTGCCACCACACCTGGCTAATTTTTTGTATTTTTAGTAAAGACGGTGTTTCACCATGTTGGCCAGGCTGTCTTGAACTCCTGACCTCAGGTGATCTACCCACCTCAGCCTCCCAAAGTGCTGGGATTACAGGTATGAGCCACTGCGCCCAGCCAAAAGTTTTTATTTTACCTTCACTTTTTCATTCTTTGATGCTCTTCCTTTCTTTATGTAGATCCAGATTTCACAGGGTACAGAATTCTAGGTTGTTGATTTTTTTTTCTCTTAACTCCATAAATATTTTATTCCACTTTTTATTTGTACAATTTCTGAAAAGAAGGCAGATGTAATGTTTATTTGTGCTCCTCTATAGGTAAAGTGTTTGTTTCCCTTGTGGTTTCTTTCAAGATTTTTTCTTTATTTTGATTTTCTTAAGTTTGAATATGATATGCATAGGCAGAAGGGGTTTTTGGCATTTAATCCTGTCTCGTGTTCTCTGAACTTCCTGGATCTATGGTTTGGTGTCTGACATTAATTTGGGAGAAATTCTCAGTCATTATTGCTTCAAATATTGCTTCTGTTTCTTTCTTTCTTCTCCTTCCAGCTATTCCCATTACACATGTTTCCACCTTTTGTAGTGGTCCTATAGTTCTTGGATATTCTGTTATGTACTTTTATCAGTCTTTTTTTATTTTCAACTTTTATTTAAAGTTCAGGGGTACATGTGCAGGATGTGCAGGTTTGTTACATAGCTAAATGTGTGCCATTGTAGTTTGCTGCACAGATCACCCCATCACCTAGGTAATAAGCCCAGTGTGCATTAGCTGTTTTTCCTGATGCTGTCCCTCCTCCCAGCCCCTACCCTCCAACAATCCCCAGTGTGTGTTGTTCCCTCCCATGTGTCTATGTGTTCTCATCATTCAGCTTCCACTTATAAGTAAGAACATGCAGTATTTGGTTTTCTGTTCCTGCGTTAGTTTGCTAAGGATAATGACTTCTAGCTCCATCCATGTTCCTGCAAAGGACATGCTCTCATTCCTTTAAATAGCTGCATAGTATTCTGTGGTGTATATGTACCACATTTTCTTTATCCAGTCTATCATTGATGGGCATTTGGGTTGATTCCATGTCTTTGCTATTGTGAACAGTGCTGCAGTGAACATACACATGCATGTGTCTTTATAATAGAATGATTTATATTACTTTGGGTGTATACCCAGTAATGGGATTGCTGGGTCAAATGGTATTTCTGGATCTAGGTCTTTGAGGATTCACCACACTGTCTTCCACAGTCTTTGAAGTAATTTACACTCCCACCAACAGTGTAAAAGCTTTCCTTTTTTTCCACAACCTTGCCAGCATCTGTTGTTGTTTTTCTTTTTGTTTTTGCTATGGTCTGAATGTATGTGTCCCCCAAAATTCATATTGAAACTTAATCAGCAATGTGCTATTAGTAGATGAGGCCTTTGAGAGGTGATTAGGTCATAAGGGCAGAGCCCTTATGAATGGGATTAATACACTTATAAAAGAGACCCCGAAGAGCCACTTGTCCCTTCCTAATGTGAGGACACAGGTAGAAGGCACCATCTATGAACTAGGAAATAGGCCCTCACCAGACACCAAAGCTACTGGCACCTTGATCTTGGACCTCCAAGCTTCCAGAATTGTGAGAAATAAATTCCTGTTGTTCATAAGCTACCCAGTTTGTGGTATTTGGTTATAGCAGTTAAAACGGACTAAGACAGGTTTTCAGTTTTGGAATTTTCTATTGCCGTATCCTCAAGCTCAGGGATTATTTTCTTAGTTATGTCCAGTCTAATAGTTACCCCATCAAAGGCATTCTTCATTTCTACTAGTGTTTTTGATCTCTAATATTTGATTTTATTCTTTCTTTGAATTTCTTCTTTCTGCTTTTATTATCCATCTGTTCTTGTATGTTGTCTAATTTTTTCTTTAAAGCCCATTGCATATTAATCCTAGTTTTTAAAAAAAAAATTATCAGTCTGATAAGTTCAGCATCTCTTCCATATCTGAGTCTGGTTCTGGTGTTTTCTGTATCTCTTAAAACTGTGTTTTCTACTGTTTAGTATGCCTTGTAATTTTTTTGTTAAAATCTGGGCATGATGTACTAGGTGAAAGAAACTCTCATAAGTAGCCCTTTAGTAATATGGTGGTAAGGTATGGAGGAAGGGAAAGCATTCTCTAGTTCTATGATTAGGTCTCAGTCTTTTGGTGAACCTGTGTCCCTGAACTGTGAACTTCACCAGTGCTTCTCAGTTTTATCCCACTCCCACCACCACCCCCCTGCACGCACGCGCACACACACACACACACACACACACCCCTTTGGTGGGACAGGATGGCTGGAGGGGACTGGAGTTGAATATTTATCTTCCCCCAGGTCTGTTAGGCTCTGGTAAAATAGTTTTTCCTGAGAGCAGGCCTTGTGAAGACCAAAATGGTCTGCAATTTCAAAATTGTTCCTTTTCCGCTTCCCCTGTCAGAAACATGAGGAGATTTTTCTCTGATATTCACTGTGAGGAACTGGTATATCTCCTGGAGGTAAAACTTACGAATGTGTGGGAGTTCTCCAATGATTGGGTCCTCCTGGAGTGTTTGTTTGTTTGTTTTGAGACCGAGTCTTGCTCTGTCACTCAGGCTGGAGTGCAGTGGCACGATCTCAGCTCAGTGCAACCTCTGCCTCCCAGGCTCAAGCAATTCTCCTGCCTCAGCCTCCTGAGTAGCTGGGATTACAGGCACGTGCCACCACACCAAGCTAATTTCACAGACTTGTCCACACAGCCTCCAGCAATTGCTTAATTACAGCTTAGGTTTTCCTACCCAAGGACTGGGTCCCCTGGAGGTTTCTGCTCATGGGTTTTTGGTCCAGTAAATTGTGATTCTCTATATTCACCTGTCTGTATCTCCAGTTTTGTTTTGGGGGCAGCTGTTTGCCCTATAACCTCACTTCACTAACAAATATAAAAAAGAGTTGTTGATTTTTCAGGTTGTTCAACTTTTTACTTGTTATTAAGACAGAGTGGCAGCTTCTAAATGTCCTTACACACCAGACTGGAAACTGGAAATCTTGTGTCTTAGTTTTTACATTTATCTTTCCTCTGTCGGACGAGTCAATGCTACAGTCATGTGTGTGTGTGTGTGTTTCAAATTGTTGGTTAACAGTTATTTGAAAAGAAGTACATGAAAACGTGCATATTAAGAAATCTTGGGCCAGGTGCAGTGGCTCACACCTGTAATCCCAGCATTTTGGGAGGCTGAGGCAGGTGGATCACAAGGTCAGGAATTCGAGACCAACCTGGCCAATATGGCAAAACCCCATCTCTACTGAAAATACAAAAAGTAACCAGGCATGGTGCAGGCACCTGTAGTCCCAGCTACTCAGGAGGCTGAGGCAGGAGAATTGCTTGAACCCAGGAGGCAGAGGTTGCAGTGAGCCAAGATGGCACCACTGCACTTCAGCCTAGGCGACAGAGTGAGACTCTGTCAAAAAAGAAAAAAAAAAAGAAAAAAAGAAAAGAAAAGGAAAAAAAAGGAAGGAAGGAAAGAAAGAAATCTTGAAATGCAATTGCATATTCACTAACACAACTCTATCTGTGCCTCATATTTCCTTTTCCGGGCTCCCATATTTGTGTGCTCCCATAACCGTGTCCCTCAGCATTTGCTTTCCAGCCTGCTAACCTCTGGCACTACTTTGATTCTTCATTACTCCCCCTTACATTTTCAGTAAAAATAAAATGAGTGTAACTGAAGTTAGAATCTGACTCTTTATACAAAGCTATGGAGCAGCAGGAAATTCTGAGGTTAAGTTTCTCAATGCTACATTCTTTAAAAACATCTGTCAGCAACATTATTGTGTAGGCAGTTGTCGGTTCAAGGGAATTGGTCCTGTATTTTATTATTACAGGGCTGTTACCATTTCCTACATTTCAAATAAAAGAAATTGATGTTACCTCAAAATATCTTAGTTATATCTGAGGTGGAGAATGAGGAATATGATGTGAACTTTTGTGTGTTGGAATCCTAGTTCATTTATAAAAACGGCCCTGTGTGCTTTTGTGTCCATCTCTTGCTGACATGGCCAACTCAAACCTAAAGTTCTTCATCAAGAGGAAGAACCAACCTTTTTGTGGTATTCAGATGAACCACAAGTGAATCTGGATATATGGTTTCATATTTTATATTGATTGTTTAGCCTTAGTATCACAGGCAGAAGCTCTGAAGGAAGAAAATGACAGCCTCCGTTGGCAGCTCGATGCCTACCGGAATGAAGTAGAACTGCTCAAGCAAGAACAAGGCAAAGCCCACAGAGAAGATGACCCAAACAAAGAACAGCAACTGAAACTCCTGCAACAAGCCCTGCAAGGAATGCAACAGGTAAAGGCATTTTGGTTTTCTGAGCTTCTGGGTAGAATAGCATCAGCTTCTCACCTGTAGAAGAGTCCCCTGCAAGCAAATCGAATATCAAACCTATTCTTCTTCTTGATGTAATATTATCTGGCATGGCTGAGGAAGGAATTATTGTTGTGGTTAATTAAATATTCCAGTTAATACAGAGATAGCAATGGATTGCCAATTTTCAAAGAATGAGCATTAAATGAAAAATATTTAACATTAGACTACATTGAACATAATCTAATCTTTTCCTTATGCTTCAGAAGGTACTTAGGGATCTAGACAGGGCCTCAGGGTCTTTACGAAGAACCTCAATTATTTAGATATGAAAAAATGCTGATGAACACATATCTAGTTGATAGAATACCAAGAAATATAGCCTTTTAAAAGGAATGGCAGGAATCTACCCTTGATTTGAGTAGAAATAGGTACATTATAGGTTTTTAAGTGTCAATGCTTTGAGCGCATATTACCAACTTATTTTTATTTTGCTTTGTATTAACAGTCACTTATGTGAATGAGTTTACCTGTGCATAATTCAAAGTGTAAAAAGCAAAGTAAATAAATGCACCCAACTGTGATTGCATTCACAGAAGTGTAGCAGATGTTCAACATCTAGGAGTTTTATGTAACCATCACCACAGTGATTCTACAGTTTAAAAGTTATCAACAGCTGCCTTCACTATAGTAAAGGAGTAGTGCCTCTGAGTAAGGCCACTGTTGTCTTCTGTCATGCTAGACTACCAGCCATTGTCCTTATACCTTAAATTGTGCAATAGTTTTTAACTGTATGCCTTGAAATTATCTAGGGCAAAGCTAATTGCTGGTTGGAAATTACAAATCATGAACAATGGTCTATTCTGGCACTAGGAACCCTAAGTTATTCTTTCTGCCACCATTGTCTTCCTATACAACAAGTAATATGACATTAATATTTCACCTTTTCTGTTAACAAAATGTGTGAAGTAATGCTCACCTTCCTTTTACCATCACCATGGAGTTTAATTAGAACATGTAAATTATATCATAGATCTTTCTATGGAAAAAATGCACCTCCTCACCTACACTTCAAAGAATTTTGACAATGTACATTGTACCATGCTTTTTAGCCCTTCCAATGGTCTTTCGCAAGCCTCTGAAAAGCACGACTTTGGAAATATTTTTGTTGTTGCTGTTTTTCCCCTCTTTGATTTTCAAACCATTTCACATAAGGATAGTTCTGCTACTTAAATGAAATTCAAAAATGATGAAATTTTATTTTATTTCATCACTTCAAAGACCTCAGTGAGAATTAGGTCTCTACCTCTTAAAAATAATTTCACTCGTTTTGATTATTTTGTATTGAAAAAAAAAATGCCTTGTAAACGATGATAAAATTTCTCCCATCTTATCTCAAAAGATGTATAGTATAATAAGGTGTGTAAGGACATGAACTCTGGGGTTGACCCAACCTGCTTTTAAATCCCAGCTCTGCTACTGACTATCTGAATGGCATTAGGGAAGCCACTTAACCTCTCCTAGCCTTAGGGATCATAGTAACATAGGGTCATTGTGAGGCTTAATTGAGACCGTGCATATAAAACCCTTAGCACAATGCTTAGTACATATTAGGCACTCAAATAAATATTATTTGTTGAAATTATTAGTAATGCTAAATATAGCTTCCTGCCTACTTATATGGAAACTAACATATGTAAAATTTGGATTCTTTACTACTTTCCTCACAGAAATTGAACTTGGCTTGGCAAATGGCTATTTGCAAGAATGCTTTACAACATTACATTTACTTCTATGCAGCAATCAGAACATTGCCCACACAGTATTAACTGCACCCTACTTTGACCCCCGCCCAGAATAGGGAAGAAGTTAAGTGACTGGATCAATTAGTTTCTCAGGACCTTTCTCAAATATTAACAAGTTCAAAGGAATTTCTTAAGAGCCAGATAAAATAATGTAAAGTGAAAATATCTTGATTTGCCCAATCTCTTTATGGAAAAATGGTCGTGTGTGCTGGAGGTAAGTGAGGCAGGCCCACCTGATATATCTAAATTCAGCCAGGGATTTTAAATGAAGTGTGGCTCCATAATTCATAAATTGATTATCTTTGGTCTTTCTTATAGCATCTACTCAAAGTCCAAGAGGAATATAAAAAGAAAGAAGCTGAACTTGAAAAACTCAAAGATGACAAGTTACAGGTGGAAAAAATGTTGGAAAATCTTAAGGAAAAGGTACATGCGCCCTAAGTGAACCTTTTTCCTTGCCCCTTTACCTACTTTTCAGTGACAATGAAAATGCCCTGGAAGTTATGCTCTAAAATCAATGGGGAATGTTTGGCTGATTGGAGATTAAAAGCCCCTCTCGGGGGTAATTCTTATACTAAGGGCTTTGCTTTTAGGTATGAGTCCTTGGCATTTCTAAGGGTTCTGGAGTGTACACCTTTCAATGAATAAGTAGTCGGTTCATCCCTAAAATTCCTCAGTCTTCTGTCTTGGAGACGACCAGAGTGCACACCTCTTCCCTGCTTCATCTTGTCAAGCAAATAGCAACATAGAAAACTCATGTGACACAAAGTACCTTTAATCAAGCATCTCATTAAAGGAAGAAACACAAGTGCAGCTAGCACATTGGCATTTCTTTGCAGCTAGTCAATTTAGTGTAATAATGAGCAACTGCAGATGAGAGGAATAGCCAATACCAAGAAGAGGGAAACCTTGGGGAAAAAAATGAGACACAGTATTCTAAAGCTAGAAGCCAAGATGGGACTTTATCAAGTGAGAGCTCTCAGCAATAAGAACCACCAATGAGGACCAGAGAGTCTAACATCTGGATGGAATCGTATATCACAACCATGAATCAGGTGCCCATTCTATTCCAGGTGTGTAAAGTCAACCTCTCCAATCTCCTTGATGCATCAATATTCAGCTGATGTTATCCTCTGAAAAGGGAAGCCCATTGACCAGAACTTCCTTGTTTTGATATCTCTAAAGGAAGAGAAGATTAGGAGCTTGGACCGAGAGTCAGAAATCAACAGTGATACAGTTCCTCAAGAACATATTCTCTTTATCTTCTGTTCTCAGCTCAGGAAGATGCAGTGCATACAGGCCCTGAGTGTGTTTACCAGCACAGTGCCTTCCCCTAGAGTGCCATTAAGAACTGGCAACCTTGGTGTAGTTGAAACAAATGATTGAAAGTGTTTTCTTCTAGAGGCCATTTGCAACGTGCTTTTAATTCTTCCACTTCATAAAACCAACTCACGTTCCAGTTTTGTGGGCACTATTAAAGAAACAAGCATAATCCCAGAGAAATTCATTTATCAAGCATTTAATTGAAAAGCGCCAAAGCTGCTCTACTTATCAGTACTTTCCTCATACCATCAGGGCTTCTAAAATGTCCCAGAGCTGCCACATTTTGCTTCCTGCATAAAATGGATTATGTAGCCAGAAGACTGTAGATAGACATGGGGTTATGCTCATGACATTATGCTTAGAATTGCTCTTCAGGACTGACATCACAATTTGACCTAAGGACATTTTTTTGTGTAAGTAGCTTTCTGGTTTGTAAAGTATTTCATTTAAAGAAGTAAGAGGTAAGAGGTCAAATGGCATAGAAGAAACTTACCATATTGTGCCTAAGGACAAGTGTTTCCCATTTGGAAACTGAATAGACCGTGAAGTGTTGGCTGATGAGGACGGGGAAAAGATCCAACTGATAATCCAAAAAAACAGTGAGTCAAAATATGTTTTTTCCTGTTATTTTAAGCAAAGGTTCTTTTAGAGAAATTCATGACAGTTCATTATAAACTGATCTTCTCTGGGAAGCTGATTTGTGACCAAATATTTCAACCTGACACAATTAGGTTAGGAAGCAAAGTACCATCACATTAGACTGCAAGAATAATTTCAGGTTGAAAGGAAAGCAATAAGTTTTGGTGAGGAGGCATCTCTTTTTTTATTTGCTTTTGTTTGGGTTTGTTGACAGTAAGCTACAGGGTGAGTTATTGTCAGTGTTTTGCAATATAACAATGTGACTTATGTCTGTCTTACTGCGGAAAGAACTAAGCTCTTTGAATCTGCTAGTAAAATTCAAGGTGATAAGCATCCCTTCAATGTACCTTCTAATTTTTTAAATGCCAGCTATAATAAAATTGAAGTCAGGTTTAAGTAAGGCTGCAGTTCTATTCAAGATGGCTAAAACTTCCCAGAATATTTTCACATCTTAAATCAACCCCAATCTGTTAAACTCTCACACTTAAGAAACGGCTTACCATATCATTTAATGTTTTAAGGGGGTCAGAAGCAGATGTGAAGCCCGTGGCTTAGAAGTGAGCTAGTAGTTTAAATCAAACTTGGCATAATGGTTACTGCCTGGATTGAATTCTAAAGGCCAAAGATTGAGTAGGTCATCAAGAAAGGGTTCCCCTCTGACTACAGCTAGGAAGCCTGTAAATTCACAAAACAACATGTCTTGCGGCATAGACCATTCATTTCACTCAGAGACAGCATCCTGGAAGCTTTGAAGACATCTTTAAAGAAAACAGAAGGCATCCTGTCCCTGCTAAGGGTTTGTGGAAAGGAAGAAGTGAAAATGCATCTGAGTCAGCCATGATCTGCCCCCACAAGGAGCATTTCAGCAGCATTTTCTTTTCAGCAGTAAAAGAAGCAGTGATTTCTTTTATTCCTTCTTCTGAAAGCTTTTCCTTCACATTTATAATAACAGAAAAGATATTCTCAGTACCCAAAGAGAGAAAGAAAGAGCCATGAAAGGTCTGGAGGTATTTTTCAGTTTGATTGCTGGTCATGGATTTCACCTGAGTTTCTCTTGTGAAACCTTCCTGCTACACTCTGAAAGAGAAAAATTTTCCACAACAAAGAAGGCCATTGACTAATGCTATTTTTTGTCATGGGCATTTCTTGCTGTAAAGTCAGGAATATTCTAACTGATAATGTCCTTATCAGAGAGAGAGAGAGAGAGAGAGTAGTAAATGAAAAAATGAAAACTCTAATTTTTAGTTCAAAAACCAACAGTTGGTTAACTATGAGTGGAAAGAAAGCTCTAAGTTTTAGTCCAAAAACCAACAGTTTATTAACTATCAGTGGATTGGCAATGTAGCCAATGTAGATTCTCTGTTGAGATGGGACTTACCATTAACAGAGTGTGGACCTAAAACTTTTAAAAAAAAAAAAAATGGTCCTTTTAACAGTGAGATGAAATCCTGGCTCCACTTCCTTGCAGTGTGATCTTAGTCAATTTACCTGAGCCTCACTTTCATCATCTGTAGAATGGAGATAACACTTATCTAACAGTGCCTAGCATCTTGTTAGTATAGCATAAATGTTGGGTCTAGTTGCCCAGATTGCTTGTATAAAGTCAAGATGAAGGCAGAAAAAAAAAAAAACTGGTGAAGGTAAATGTTTAAATGTTTCTGTGTTTTGGAGCCCTAAAAATAAGCTTTGGAATATCTGTGATGCTTTTGTAATTTATGATGTTTTCCCTCCCATTCAGTAATCTAAATTGAACAGTATTGCTTTTATAGTCCTGAGTTAAGTTACCTGTTGTGTAGTTAATTGAAACCAACTCTGTTGCCAAATAAAGTGAACTGACCTGGGAAGCATGTTGTGTCCACAGGAAAGCTGTGCTTCTAGGCTGTGTGCATCAAACCAGGATAGCGAATACCCTCTTGAGAAGACCATGAACAGCAGTCCTATCAAATCTGAACGTGAAGCACTGCTAGTGGGTAAGGAAGCTAATGCACACATGCCACGTACAATGCCTGGGTACAATGGAGGAGGGGAGGGCTCTACCTAAGATTAACAAGCACACATCAAGCATTTATGAAGCATGGCAGCGCAAGAACTCAGAGTTCTGAAGATGATAGGTTAAGAACAACTACAAATTTCCAAATTTAACAGCAGCTGCCAGCCCCCCTCACACTCCTTGTAGCCACTGCCATGTCAAGCAGTCAAGCATGTCAGTACAAGCACTAAGCTAAGAGGGGTCAGCTGGAGAAACACACTGTAGATTTTTTTTAAATATCTGTGCAAGGATAGATAAGCCCTCTCATGTCCACTCAGGGGGCTAGTGCAGACCCTACTTGGCAGAGAGCTTTTCCAGAGAGCCTCTGGAGCAAGTATAGGCAAGTTTTTCCAGGTTACTAACTAAGCTATTTTTACACTTCTGACACCAAATGACCAGGGATTATTTGTTTGTTTGTTTGTTTGTTTGTTTTAACCTCCTGACACCAGATGCATGGTGTCTTTTCCAACACTACATCTCCAACTCTTCAATACCAAGTGGGTGTCCTACAGTTGAATTCCGTTCTCACACTCACTACCCAAAGTTAGAGTTTAACGTTAGACTCCATGGGTTTAAGGGCTCAGTCCCGGAAGACTGCCCTCTCTATAGATGCCAGTCTCAAATATAGGGTCTCCAAGTATCCTCTACTTCTGTCTGATTTGGCTACAAAGTCAGGGGTTTCCACAATACCCACCCCAGGTTTGATAATTTGCTAGAGTGGCTCACAGAACTCAGGAAAGTACCTTACTTACTCCTACCGATTTAGTATAAAGGATACAATGGAAGAGGTATATAGAGCAAGGTACTTCGAAGGGGTATGCGGAGTTTCTATACCTTTTTGGGTGTGTATCTTGTTGTGTTTGCCAACCAGAAACCTCTCTGAACCCCATCGTTTCAGAGTTCTTATGGAGGCTTCATTATATAGGCATGATTGATGAAATCACTGGCTATTGGTGATTAACTCAGTCTCCAGCCACTCTGTCCTCCCTGATGTTCCAACTCTCTGATCATGCCTAAGTCTTTCTGATGGCCAGCCCCAATTCTAAAGCTATAAGGGGCCCCCAGCTACCCGTCATCTTAACTCTTATCACTCCAGAAATTCCAAGGGTTTTAGGAGCTGTGTGCCCTGGGGACCAGGGACAAAGACCAGATATTTATTTTTTGATTATATCACAGTGGCAGATGACTCAGGAAGCTGCGGTGTGTTGGACGCTAGTGGGCTTTGATGAGGTTCATGCTAGCATTGCTCTCTGTAAAAAGTCATTCAGAAAAGCAAGATGGCACAAATGTTTAAAGAATCAGACAGACCTGGCTTCCCATCTTGACCCCACCATTTCTTCTCTGAGCTTCAGTTCCTCCATCTGCAAAATGGACATAATGATATTACCGACCCAAAAGGGCAGTTGTGAGTATTAAATACAGTAACTCACCTAAATCACTTAGCATAGTCCCTGGTCCATAGTAAGTAAGCCCTCAGTAAGTAGAAAATATTTTACACTTCACAGCACTATTAACCAATGCTGGCTAACTTTATATTCCATTTGGAGAACAGTGGCAGATTGAGGCTGTAAAATATTTAAGAGGGGCTAGTCATTTAAGAGTGACTGGTCTTGGGCCACAGCAGATAATCCCAGCTGCCATCTAGGAAGCTGAGCTATACAGTAGCCCCACTCTAGTCTCAAAAGCCCCCCACACTGACTGGCTTCTGCATATTTTTAAGATATCTCTGCCTCCTTTGGTAATGGATATTATCCTCAGATTTAACACTTTGATATGTTAATAAAGATGCACAGGGGGACCTGCCATTGAATCTTCAAGAAAAGTGACAACTTATTACAACTTATTAACGTCTTCCAAGTTCTTAACAAATTGGCATGGCAACAGGGAGACCTGTCAGAGAAATGCTGGGGATAGAAGGAAGCCTCTGTGAATGGATAGTCCTAGAAAAAAAGATTCTTAAAATAAGTGTTTCTTGTTTTGTTTTTTCAAGAAGGTAGTCTTGGGCTGGCACAGAGAAAGGAAAATCTATTTTTCAATCAGCTTTTTGGGTGTGAACCCACAAAATCGCTTGTTTTTAAACCGCTGGAGTTATTTCTTGGCATTTGACAGCCTTTCTTGGCCAGGACATCTAGAATTTCTTCAAACATGGAATGTCTTCTTCAGAATTTAAGTTTCTCAGCCAGAATCAGTGTTTAGAACTTCAATTTACCTAGCCATTTAAGAATAAAGTAATGTTCTAAGTAATAGCATCCCTTTTGAACAGATTTTGAGCCCTGCCATCAGTTCCTTTTGGAACCCCTCTCCAACTTACCCCCTTGATTGAACTTCAAACACCAATTTAAACCTGTGTTAGTCTTTTGTCAGCCTCTTAAAGGGACAGACAAGTTGTAGTTTAGAAACCAAATCAAATTTTGCTTTTATTTCCTGGCAATTTTCAACAAACTCAATTCTGGGTCTATTTGATGCACTTAAGATCTTATGAAAGGAGGTGAACTCAAAACAAATTGAAAGAAAGAAATATTATACTTTTGAGCAATTTATTTTCCACCTGTTGCCAGAGAAAGAAGTATTAGAACAATTAACCTAATGGCCAGAACAGTCAAGGCAGCATGTGAAGCTGCCAGTCACCCCAGAGTCAGGCTAAGTGGAAATCAGGGGCATTCCTGGAGGCTGTAAACTGCTATAAGAATTCTGTTACACAAGGAGATTCGAGGCTCTAAGCACAGAATGCTAGTGACCACTTGAGTTAGCCGTGAATGAAATGTTTGGCTTTTCTTTACAGAGCTATTCACAAAATAATACCCAAATACAATCAGCAGACTTTCTTGTGAGAGGCACAAGGTTAATCAGGAAAGTACATGATTTATACGTCTACCACAACAGCAAGGCATTATTAACACCTAAGAGGCTAAAGTCTAAAGACTGTGAAGGAACTGCAAAAGCCCAGCACAGTGTAAATTCATTATAAAATCCTTGAATTCAGACAATGTTTAGCCATCACAAACAATGAAAGTGACTCTTCAAATGCCAGCTTTTCTACATGTGATACAGCACAGTAAGAGGCAGTATATGACTGTCCGGGTTCAAATACCAGCTCTGCCACTTACCAGCTGTATGACCTTGGACAAGTTGCTTACACTTTTAGTGTGTCAGTGTCCTCAGCTGTGAAATGGGGATGACAATACCCACCTCATGGGATTATTATAAAGATTAAATGAGTAAGATACGTGTAAACTTAGAATAGTGTCCAGTGTATTTATGTTGTACATATGAGTCAGCGCTTACTATTCACTGTCATGTGGAACCTCGAGGAATACAAGGCTCAAGTATAACCTCCATGCTCTTGTCTCTGTAGGGATTATCTCCACATTCCTTCATGTTCACCCATTTGGAGCAAGCATTGAATACATCTGTTCCTACTTGCACCGTCTTGATAATAAGGTATATGGGGGCCTAAAATGGGGATGCAAGGGGATGTGTGGAGTTCTTTGTTAACAGGTAACCTGACTCTCCTCAAGCATAAATAGGTCATTAGTTACTGCTTTCAGGAAGTTTCCCTCACCTGCTCTCTCACTGTGATTCAGAGCAGAGCTTCCCTCTTGCAAGTAGGATGACCGTGTGTCCTGGTTTGCTGGGTACTGAAGAGTTTCCTGGGACTTGAGACTTTCAATGTTAAAACCAGGGCAGTCTCAGGCAAACTTGAATAAGTTGACCATCCTTTTTCAAACATACATCTTAGAAGATTTTTCCTCTTTTCTCTTAATTTACCTATAAGCTGCAAACCAATCCATATCAGCTTTCTTACCCATCAAACTTTTTTTTTTTTTTGAGACAGGGTCTCACTCTGTTGCCCAGGCTGGAGTGCATTTGTGAGATCACAGCTCACTGCAGCCTCAACCTCATGGGCTCAAGTAATCCTTCCACCTCAGCCTCCTGAGTAGTTGGGACTACAGACGCATGCCACCATGCCTGGCTAATTTTTGTATTTTTTATAGAAACAGGGTTTCACCACGTTGCCCAGGATGGCCTCGAACTCCTGGAGTCAAGCAAGCCACCTGCCTTGGCCTCCCAAGGTGCTGGGATTACAGGCATGAGCCACCGTACCCGGCCCCATCAAACTTTTGTCCTGGGTTTTTAGCCATTAGCCAATGTTCATTTTCAAAATGGGAAGTCTTACACCATCCACCTCTCCCACCATCACCCCTGCTATTGTCTATTACAAAACAAGGGAGGCAGGAGCAAAAAAAAAAAAAGATAGAGCAAAGAGCTGAGGGCCTCTGTAACACAGACTGAATATTTGCTCACAGATGATCTCGTGGTCCATTTCCTTCTCTGGATGCTATCCTTTGGGGGAACTCCTAGGGCTTCTGGAGCAGGGGTAAGTGCTAATTCCCTAGGAAATCAAGGATGCCTCTAAGAGGCTGGAGAGGACTCTTGACTCCTCAGAATGAATCAGCTCAGGATACTTTTTTTTTCAGAAGCAGCATTCAGGGAAATGTGCCCATAAATTGTACTGCCTATTTCATAGGATCTGGGACTTTCGAGAAGTGCCATTGAATATAGGTGCTGTCCAAAATGTTAAGTCATTTAAGCATATGTCCTCTTAACAAAGGCAGTGGCCCACTTGGGAGTCTTACTGTTCTAACCACATCCCAGCTGTGGTGATACATCCTCTTCAATGGCATTTGCTTTCATTCTAGCTAGCACTCCCCCTTCATTTCCCTCTGGGAAGTGATGCTATTCTGCAATTAAATGGCCCATTTGGCAGTGAAGGGGAGGATGCAATGTGAATACTAGGACCAAGCAGTCCATTGCAATGGTATGAAATTGAACTATGTGTCAGTAAAAACCATCTGCTGCTTTTTTAATTTACAAAAATAATACATGCACATTATCTTTAAAATGTAAGCCGTATAGAAATCTAGTAAAGGGAAAGTGCAGGTTACCACCCACAATCCCACTGCTCGAGGATAACCACTGTTAACAGTTTGGCACAGATTTCAGACCCTTTCCTGCAAGTGTGCTGCACCTATATTAAATGTATATGTCTATACACATTATCTGTGTTTTCTGAAATGGGGATTCTACTCTATATGATACCCTGGCATGTGCTTCGTTCACTTGACTGGATACGGCACTGGGACAAAGGCATAACTGCACTCCTAGCCTAGGCCTAGCTCCCCCTTAGCGACTTCCTGCCAGAGTAGTGCCAGGGCCTCCCAAAGAGAGCCTGAGGTGATACCAACAGAACTGGGGCTCCCTCCAGCTTCAGGGACATTCATTGTGGCGCCAACTCTGGGTTTCTTTCAGGATCCCCTGGTGCTCTTTACCCAAGCCCTGGTGCCAAGGCTCATAGTGAGGAGAGTAACTTACTAACTCTACTAATGTGAAGATGACCACCTAAAACAAGTCCTAAAGGAGTCCACAGATTTGTTTTTGTTTTCGTATTGAGGGGTGTGTGTATGTGTGTGTGTGTGTGTGAGAGAGAGAGAAAGAGAGAGAGAGAGAGAGAGACAGAGAGAGAAGTGGGGAGAGAAAGACAATGCAGAGAAGTATGAACACAGAGCTTTCCCCATTCCTGTTACTTCTCCATTATGAACTAACGCATTTGTGAGGGATTCTGCTCTGGTGGCAGCCATTTCTACCTTCCTCCCCTCCAAAAAGGCTCAGCAGCTTCAGTGGACCTGCACACAGCATCACCAGCACTGAGCAGCCATCATTCAGCTTCTTACAAACCCAGGCCTTTCCACATGACTGACCCCAGCTCTTTCCAATAGCAACTCAGCGGACCCTGTCTGATGGTCACAGCAGAGGAACACTGCTGGCTGGAAGCCACTCTGCCAACACACACAAATGCGCAAGGAGCGGAAGGAGGTTCAACGCCCCCCACCCCCCGCCCCACCCCGCCCAACACACACACAGACACATCAGCATTCTAAAGTAGGAAACACTGGGAAAGAAGATTAGGAAAATAGAACTGATTTTGAATGGAGATGTTCTGTCTGTCCCACAGATCTGCACCAGTGATGTGGAGTGTCTCATGGGTAGACTCCAGCATACCTTCAAGCAGGAAATGACTGGAGTTGGAGCCAGCCTGGAAAAGAGATGGAAATTCTGTGGCTTCGAGGGCTTGAAGCTGACCTAAATCTCTTTGCCTAACAACTTGGGATCCTGAAGATAAATATGTGTTGGACAAGCATAGAAAGTGATTTGTATATTTAATGGTTTTCAAGTGGAAGTTCGTTTGAATTTGTCAGTTCATTCCTGGAAAATCTTTTGAGTTAAAATAAGGATCCTAGGACAGCACCTCGAACTACAGGCCCTAAAGAGAAATTGCCTCAAACCGCAAGTGCTGTAACTTCCTCCCCTTTCTGTCAATTGGTTGTCTTTAAATATTGCAAAAGTCCTGAGGCTAAACAGTATTTGGAGTGTTTTCAGTGTCTGTACTACTGTTGTAGACTTTGGTATTTTTTTAAACACTGTTAACTGAAATGTTTTGATGATTTGTATGTGATTTGTGTTTCTAAACTTCTCTTTACATTAATGTTGCTACTGGTGAAAGGAATGAGAGCAGCACTAAGTCCTCTGTGTAACTGCCATTGTCTTTCCAATCCCCAGTAGACTAGTAAATAAATAACACATCAGTGTCTTCTAGAAGGTGCCTGACCAGGTTCACCTTTTAAATGACAAAGCATGGTTTGTGGCTTTTTGCAAAATTACTATGAACCAAAAGTTGACAAATGTTCCAAAGTTATTTTCTCTAACATACCACATTAAAGATCTGTTTCAGAATTGTAAAAAGTACATCTAGATGTGTTTGCAGAAAGCAAGTATCCAGTATGACTGGCATGTGTTCGTGCTATTCAGAATCACTTGTAAATAGTCTGCTTTTAAAGGAGGGCATGTTCCGTTTTCTGTGAATTAAAACACGCTCATGTGTGGACACACACGCACAAACACACGCACGTGCGCACACAGTGACAGAAGGGATTTGTGTTAATTTTCTTTCCCCTCTGGCCTTCTTACGGTCTCTTGGTCCCTTTGCTTCTGTTGTCAGTGTGTTGAATTGCAAACCGTGTACTGCTGTAAATACTATGTTTACTTCATGCTGAATGTTTGCAGAGACTTGATATAAGTATTAATAGTAATGAATCAATGAATAAATAATGAGCCAGGGTTTGTGAGGCTTTCTGCAAATAAGTCAGCTCCACCTGGAGTGCGGATTGCCAGAGACACCTCCAGTTCTGTAGTGCCCATCGGCAAATCGCAATGGCAGCATGTGAGTGGACCATTCAGAAACTGCTGCTTGGTGGAAAGGAAACGGAGAGGATGAAGGTTTGGGGCAAATATCCTGAGGCAGAGATGGTCTTTATTGTGTGTGGTGGTGGTTGTGGTACTTATAATAATGCAAGCATACCCCCCCTTGAGTCTCAATTGAAGATAAAAGAATGTACTGAGTAAGCAAAGCCAATGGAGAGTATTTCACGAAAATACTTTGTAAATGAAATGCCAGTAGTGTTCAAAGTTGTATTTTTAAAAGATAAATATTCCTTTTTATACCTCCGTTTTGTGTCCTGTTTTTAATGACTTTCTCTCTAAGTAATCCATTAGTAGTTATCTCAGTTCCTTCCTTTGGGTTACTAGGATGTTAGAAAAAGATGCCAAGCCTGCCGTGACAACTGGAAATAGGGTTCCACCGCAGCCCATTCATGCTGCGAACTGGCTTTCCCCTCAAGCTGTGGCACCAGCAGGAAGCTAGGGTTCATTTTACACTGGCTCCCTCACTGATGCATCTCTCATCAACACTACGGAAGGCTTTGTTTCATCCGTCTCAGGGGCTCTTGGAATACCTAATTTTAATAATATCTATGAAATCAGGGGAAACTTTCCACTTACAGTTATTTCTTGTTTAAATAAATTAATTTTTAGGGGAGAGCAGTAGGAAAAAGAGCTAATGCATGCCAGGCTTAGTACCTAGGTGATGGGTTGAGGTGCAGCAAACCACCATGGCACACGTTCACCTATGTAACAAACCTGCACATCCTGCACATGTACCCTGGCACTTAAAAAATAAAAGAAAAAAATCAAACTCCTTACCATGATATTAATACATTAAAAAAATTGTTTAAAGCAACAGCTGCCACACCTAAACACCTTACTCTCCTTCACTTAATCAACTTACATCGCAGATTGTCTGTTTCTGTTACTCCTGCCAGTTGAGTATAGATAGACTCCTCCCAGTTTGCTTGAATATACTAGTTGTTATGGTTAATTGTATGTGGCAACTTGGCTAGGCTGTAGTGCCGAGTTACTTGGTCAAACACCAGTCTAGATATTGCTGTGAAGGTATATTTTAGATGTGATTAAAATTTAAGCCAGTAGACTTTGAGTAAAACAGGTTACCCATTATCATGTGGGTGGACCTCATCTGATCAGCTGAAGGCCTTAAGAGAAAAGACTGAAGTTGCCTGAGGAGGGAATTCTGCTTCGAGACTGCCTTTGGACTCAAAACTGCGACATCCAACTCCTGCCAGAACTTCCAGCCTGCCGGCCTGCCCTACAAATCTCTAACTTGCCAGCACCCATAATCGCAAGAGCCAATCCCTTAAAATAAATAGATATCTCTCATATATATCTATATATAAATAAGCATAGATATATAGAGATATATAGATATGAATGTGCATTACATTACACAATCAAATTGTGGCACATACCATCTCTCACAAACCTTTTCATCCATCATAGAAATCTACTAATGAAGCCGCTTTTTCCTACAAAGTCCCAGTGCTATTTATGGTTCTGTTGTTCCTCCAGAATTTTGAAATAATGCTGTTTTGTTATGTTTATGAGATACAGTAGTTAGCGTTTCTTCAATATAATAATGAATAGAAGCTTTATTTTATTTTACAAATGATTTTTTCATCTCCTTCCCTAGTCCTGTGACATCTCTAATTCTAACTTTTTTTATTACCAAGTTGCTTGTTAAATGTCTTCAATGCAAATGAAAGTTATTTTTCATAGAAAATTAAAGACACATCTGCATTCAAGTTACATAGAGGTTTTTTTTTTAATTTTGGCCCAAAAATGTATGCTTTTCATATAAGGCAGAAGAAACTGTATTATTTGAAAAGATAGCATAAATGCACAAGAACTTTTAACTTGCCCAGTAGAACTATGTGAGCCCTTAGGATTCTCAGCTGTCTTAGATGGTACATCAGGTAGATATGGCTTCATTTTCTACCACAGTTGCTACCATCTGCTGAGCACCTATTAGGTAGTCGCGATGCCCAAAGTCTCTATCTGTGTGTCTTCAGGCAAGTTACATGAACACAACGAGAGCTTCAATTTTCTTATAGACAAAATTAAGAAGAAATAGTACCTACCTCACAGAATGGTAGGAAAGAGTCAATGAGGTAGCATCTGCAAATTGCTCAACCAGTGCTTGGCCCATAGTGAGTTCTCAATAAGAGGTATGATTGTGATTCAACCAAAGTTCATGACCTTACCCACGTTTAAAAAAATGTTTTTGTGGGCCAGGAGTGGTGGTTCATACCTGTGATCCCAGCGCTTTGGGAGGCCAAGGCAGGCAGATCACTTGAGGTCAGGAGTTCGAGATCAGCCTGGCCAACATGGTGAGACCCCACCGCCCCACCCCATCTCTACTAAAAATACAAAAATTAGCCAGGCGTGGTGGCAGGCACCTATAATCCCAGCTATGTGGGAGGCTGAGGCAGGAGAATCGCTTGAGGCAGAGATTGCAGTGAGCCAAGATCACTCCACTACACTCCAATCTGGGCAACAGAGTAAGTGAGAGCCTGTCTCCAGAAAAAAAAAAAAAAATGTTTTTGTGTTCATACATAGAACTGTACAGCCACATCATGTTGCTGGACTTCAAGACGAAATTCAGCTGTTTATACATACTCCAAACATTTACTCTGTCCCAAACACTGTCAGGCACAATGGGACACAAAAGGAGTACGGCTGGCCCCTGCCTTCAAAAACCTAGAAGGGTAGCTGCAACACACTGAACTTAAGTTTTTCACCCTTTAGCCAAAGCCATAAAAGTTAATTGTGAAAATATTCAGTGCTGACCACCCATGAATTATGTCGATAAGGTGGTAATGACCTCTTGCTCTTGACACTTGAACTATTACTATCTATGCCCCCGCCCTACCTCCAGAGAATAAGCTGCATGAGAGTATGGTTCTCATTTGTCTTGTTTACTGCCATATCCCCAGAACCTGGTACACTGTAGGTGTTTAGTAAAGATTTGTTACATTAGTATTTGTGTAGCATTTTAAACTACATTCAGGCTGGGCGCAGTGGCTCACGCCTGTAATCCCAGCACTTTGGGAGGCCAAGGTGGGCACATCTCCTGAGGACAAGAGTTGGAGACCAGCCTGGCCAACATGGTGAAACCCTGTCTCTACTTAAAAAATACAAAATTTAGCCGGGCGTGGTGGTGCACACCTGTAATCCTGGCTACACGGGAGGCTGAGGCAGGAGAATCGCTTGAACTCGGGAGGCAGAGTTTGCAGTAAGCCAAGATCATGCCACTGCACTCCAGCCTGCATGACAGAGTGAGACTCTGTCTCAAAAAAAACATAAAAAATAAAAATAAACTATATTCATATGCACTAATAATAATAAAAGCTAACATTATTTAGTGATTCCTACTTAACAGGATATATACATGCGTGTATATACATATATACACGCACACGTATATGTATACACGCACACGTATATTTATACACACACACGTATATATATTTTATGTTTACTACAATGTGAAAAGTAAATTTATTAGCCTCCATTTCAGCTGAGACTTGGAGATGTACAGTAACTTGCTTAATTTTTTTTTTTTTTTCAGACGGAGTCTCACTCTGTCACCCAGGCTGGAGTGCAGTGGTGTGATCTAGGCTCACTGCAAGCTCCGCCTCCTGGGTTCATGCCATTCTACTGCCTCAGCCTCCCGAGTAGCTGAGACTACAGGTGCCCACCACCACGCCCTGCTAATATTTTTTTTTTTTTTTTTTTGCATTTTTAGTAGAGACAGGGTTTCACCGTGTTAGCCAGGATGGTCTCGATCTCCTGACCTCGTGATCCACCCACCTCAGCCTCCCAAAGTGCTGGGATTACAGGCATGAGCCACCACGTCCGGCTACTTGCTTAAGTTTTTAAGAGGCAGAAATGAAATTTGAATCTTGGTCTCTCCAATCACAAGCTTAAAACTTTCCACTGCACCAATATTTTATTTAATCTTCATATCAACTTAATTGGTAATATTATTATAAACCCCATATTGTTCATTCATGTGCCATTATAGAGTGCCTGATATGTTCAAGTCTTAGTCCTGGAAATTCAAAGGTGAACACAACATGTCCCCTTCCCTCAAGAGCTTATATTCTGGTAGGGGAGCCTGCTAAATGACCCAGTCATGGTGCCCCAGGTCACTTTATAACACTGTCACTTCTCTGAGCCTTTTTTAAATCTGTAAAGTGAAAATCATATATTTCCCTTGAAGTTTCATTTATGAGGTGTTGATCAATGTACAGTGCCCAGTACTATGCCTGGCAAAGTAAGTGCTCAATAAATAGCTATAATCATTATCCAGCCAATAGTCATATCAACAATGCTTTAATGACACCAGAGCTACCTTTATAGTAATGGGGATCCCATAAGGCCACACAATAACTTAAAAGAAGGAGACCTGCTAGCTCAGAGAAATTCAGGAGATTTTACTGAACAATGCTCCATTAGAGTTAGGTAGTGCTTGGCCTAAGCCAAACACAGTGAGGAAATTTCCTTCTACTGTCTTCTGATACGGTCTCAGTATCCTTCCAATTCTACCCACTCCCATTACGAGATAGACCACATCCCATTAACAAGAAGGCCAAGGAGGTCTTATCTCCTCTACCATTTCCTAAGATTCATAGCATCATCCCAGTTTTTTAGTTTGACAGTAAGCTTTGAAGTTCTAAGCTTGCTTACATTTTCTATCTGGGAGGATGACCTCAAAGGCATACTAAAGTAATTAATTATTGGGGCAACAGAAGGAAAGAAAAGAATTGATTATACACACAGGTATGCACATTCAAGGCTATAGAGCCCTATGGAGATGACATCAGATCTTGGATGGAAATGGTATACAGGACACATTAATGAGTGTTCTGCCCAACTGCATTCACTCTAAGTCTGTTTGAATATGAGACTACCCTAAAATGAATAATCCTCTGTGGCATCAGACCTCTGAAACTTTAACTTGTTACTATTCCTCAATAAATACCTTATATGGTGCTTTAAGCTGTTTTCAAAGTAACTCCGTGCACAAGCATTATGTCATTTGATCTTCACAACACACTGTGAACTAGCAAGGGCAGATGACTTCCTCACCATCATTGCAGCTAAGGAAAACAAGTCTCAAAAGATGAAGAACTATACCCTAGGTCGCACAGCTAAGTGGATGATGGAGCTGGGATGAGAATGTAAGATTCCTGAGTTCTCCCTATCTCTACCCCACTTCAGCTCCAGCCTCTGCCTATTATAGCTGAGGGAAT